GCCACTGAGCTGTCTCCCTGGCCCTCATACTCCTCACTTGCAGAAGCCTCCGCAGTCAACAACATTGTGAGTTCCTGGAACCACTGCTACTTTAGAGCTACGGCCATGGGTAAGGGGCCTAGCCCAGCACTGCTGCCTCCTCACTGTCCTAAGGCAATGCTGGCTGAGGCTCTGAGGACCAAGGGGCTGATAAGGGCCCTGGTCAGCCTTAGAACTCGGGGGCTTTGGGGACAGGACTCTGACCTCCACACCTGGGCTCTGCTCAGCACAGGGGCGTTCCTCACAGGCAGCCTTCCCAGAGCAACAGGAGGAGCTCTGGAGCTTCTCTGCCTGTGGTCTTGGAGTTCCCTGACCCTTCTTCCCAGCGGTGCCAGCCTGGCCTTTGCCCGAAAGGCAGGCCCAGCCCCTCCCGCAGCTCTATGCCTGGTGGGAGGGAGCTCCAAGGCTGAAGAGTTTTAGAGCCACTGTCCCTTCACAGCTCGCCAGGCCTCTAGAGAATGGGGCTGAGAAATGCCAGTGAGGGGAATACCTCTCTCCACCATGCACCCTCCTATCCCCAGGCCCACACGGGTGTCCCAGTCCTGTGACCCCATACCTACCATTCTTGAAGGCTAGAAACTCAAAGACACTGTGGACGATGGACACAATGATGGTGAGTGCCAGCAGGTAGGGGTTGGTCTCCAGCAGGGCGACCTAGGGAGGGGCAGGCGGCATATATAAGCCTGGGAGCTGGCCCCTTCCTGTCCCTGCTCCAATGTTCTGGCTGCCCAGTAGGGAGAACACACATCAGCCAGGAGGACAGCAGTTCAGGAAAGGACAGACTGGGACTGAGACCAAGATGACATTCAGAGAAAAGGAAGATGAGGCAGGAGGCACAGAGACTGGAAGGTGACAGAGAGAAGGGATAGAAGTGAGGAATAGAAGCCCAACAGCATCTCCAGTTCTGGGCCACCAAAGCAGTCTCAATGTCACACACTGAGCAGAGGTGGAAACAGGAGAAGGTACTTAAGGAAACAATGCAGAGAGCAGAGGCATCAGGTCAGGGAGACAGGGAGGGCTAGGTCCAGACCCAGAGTCATGACAGGGACAACAGAAGCACCCAGGATTAGCCAGGGCTGGAGGACCTCTGCAGGATGGGGTGACAGGAGAATATCAGGTAGGAGTCCCCAGCCGGTGAACTACTTCCCCTCGGCCTCTGCGGCCACACGCCCCACCCTACTCACCTTCACTGAGTCCTGCTCCTCATCTGACTGTTCATACAGCTCATCACCCAGGAAGTTCCAGGGCGACTTGGTGCTCTGGGCGGCGTAGAGCTGCCAACGCCACAGTGAGAGTGGACAGAAGGAGACGCGTAGTGGCAGGCTGGCCAGGCTCTCGTTAATGGGGTAGTAGTCCTTCTGCAGGTTCCAGTAGTCGTTGAAGTAGATGATGGGGTAGTAGTCACCGCTCACGGCATCAAACTTCACGTCTGTGGGCACAGGGAAGGTACTGGATGGGGTCCCTCTGAGCCACATTGGAGCGGGACATGTTTCTGGGCTGTGTGTGAGGAGCTCAAGAGCCCAAGAGCCCAGACCTCAGTGGAAGGGACCGGGCAGAAAGGGCAGTGGGCTGAACAATCAAGGTGGCCATGGCCCAGCGCCAGGCACAGCCACCCAGGTGAGGATAGTTTTGAAGCTTCCATGTAACTTCTGAAAACACCAGGAATCTGGAGTTTCAAGAGGCTGCTTCAACTGCAAACTGACGGCTGAACACATTTTTAGAGAGCAGCCTGAAGGGAGAAGGGAACCTGGGTCCCCAGGGATGTGGGAGAGCAGAGGAGAAAGGACAGGGTCAGGAGCTCAGTGTGGCATGGACCCAGAAAGGTCTCTCTGGGGCCTGAAAGGGGACAAGGAAATGTGGCAGTGGGCAGGGACTTACACTGGTCCAGGGGAGGCGGCACACTGCCCTTCACCCATGGCGTGTGGTCATCTACGATGTTGATGGTGATGTTGGGGTGCCAATGGGAGATCACCTCCACAGGCCCGAAGTCCTCGGCCCTCTGTGGGAAGATGGGGATGGCCACAGCTCAGAGATGGTGGGGAAATCAGCCTCTGTGTGCGTTCTCCTGGGGGCTCCTAGGACGATGGTGACAGAAGCACAGCAGCCACCAGAGCCACTGCACACCACTCGCCTGCTGCTCACCTGGCCGACTCAGAGCAGCCTGCAGCCTTCACTCCCCCATGGGTCCCAACCCCGGAAGCAAAGGAGAGAGGCTGAGAAGCAGAGGCAGCTTCTGGGCAGCAGCAACCCCCTCACATGGTGGCCCCACCTCATACAGGGCATCACCCAGTATTTTGCAGAGTGACAGCCCATTCCTGCCTGAGTCACATGCTCACTGCCTGCTCTGTGCTGGCTGTGTGGGCTGTAGATACAGCCTCCCACATCTTGGCAGTATCCCTACCTAAAATGGGACTGGGGGCAACACCCACCTCCCGGGGCTGGAGTCTTCTCATTCCTGCTGACCTCCAACCCCCTACCCTGGGAGCAAAACTGAGTCCGAGTGGGGCACGGTAGTCTGACCAAGTCTACATGGGCCCCAGCAGTCTGGCAGCAGGGCTGCAAAGGCCGCACTTGTATTACCTTGATCATCTCTGGGTCTGCTTCTGTCTCTCCTGTGAGAAGGTTCTTTGTTTTCTGGAATCTTCTGCGCTTATACTTGTTGATCACTGAGGGTAGGGAATGGGAAGAGACATGAGACTTGGGGAACTCACAGGCCCAGACACTAGGCCTCTACCCAGCAGCAGCTGTTCTGGACCTCCTACTCACAAGCCCCACCCTGGAGCCTCAGCTGCCCATCTCAGTATCCCTGTTCCCCCTTTTAACAGGGCCACCACCACCGCCCAGCAGCCCAGCAGGGAATGCTCTCTGTGGACCTCACAGTTGCCTGATCCTCTCACCCTGAGGCCTTTCCACTGGGGACAACTGGGGTCACTGTCTCAGGACCTCTCAGGGCCACTCCTGCCCCACAACATTCTCTGCACAGGGCAACAACACTTCTTTCTAACCAAGCGGTACTGGCTCCAGTGGTTCTCTCCACCCCCTAGCTCTCCTCAAAGCTACTGCTCTGCCAGGGTCTGTCCTTCAGCAGCCATGTCACCTGGCACAGTGCTTGGGCCTGCTGTTCTCTCAGCCTCTGAGGCTATAACTGCTGCCTGCTGTGACCGCCCTCCTGCCTCTGGGTCTGAGACAGAAGATGAGAGAGGACAAAGGTCCTTGGCCAACAGCTCCAGAGTCAGATCCTGACTGTCTCCTACACACTGGGGACTCTGGTGAGTCCGGATACTTCCTGGAGCCTCCATCCCTCCTCTGGAGATTGGGGACAAAGTCTTAACTTCTGTACCCACCAGGGGCTGCTGTTTGCTCCAACACAAACATCATCTCCATCCTTTCTCTCATTAACTCAATGGGAGCCGGCCACGATGGGGAGCAGCACACAGAGGGTGGCTGGCCAGGAAGGGAGGCGGGGCTGCTGCCGGCAGGGCCGCTGGGCAGCACTGGGCTGGAGAAGCACAGGAAATATGGGCCTGGCTCAGGTGGCAAAGGGAGGCACCACAATCAAGACCACTGCTGTGGGGAGGAAAGCACTGAAATGTGACCAGGCCAGTCAGAGAGGTGCTATTAGAGTGACGTGCACACTGGACCTGAAGCTTGGTGCCAGATACGTGTGTGTGTGTGTGTGTAGATGAATGAATATTTATTCTAGGCAAGTATAATCTCTCAGTACTCAGGAGGCTGAGGCAAAAGGTGTACCAAGTTCAAGGCCAGCCTGAACTACATAGCGGGGCATTCTCAAAAAAAAAAAAAAGTTTTTTTATTTTTTATTTATTTATTTTTTTTTAAACAGTACCAGGAATCAAACTCAGGATCTTGAGCTTGCCAGGCAGGCACTTATGTTGCTGAGCTACCTCCTCAGCCCTCCATAAAATTATTAATATTAATTTGTTTAATTTAATCTTTTACTTTACCTTTTTTTCTAAATGGCTTAGACTTGGGGCTGGTGAGATGGCTCAATGGTCTAAAGCACCTACTTAGAACAAACAAGCTTAGCAAAGCACAGGGACCATGGTTCAATCC